AAACAAAAATTCGGTAAAATTCACGAAAATAAAGTAGCATAGGAGACCATAACATGGTGTTTAATTAAACAAGAGCATAGTCTCGGGAAATTTCACGAATATCGTGAGACATAGATGACAGAAACGTACCAGTATCGTAGTCCATTGAAGTCATGCATACGCACGCGAACTGCACGATCAAATGATTGTAGCGAACTGTCCTGTTCTTTACGTGAAGAAGAGGCGCATGCTCTTTTTTGGTGCCCCATGTGTAGATGCTAAAACTTCTAAGTGCGTAATTAGACTTCCAAGTATCGCATCCACGAGGGTAGACATATTTTTTTAATCGTCTTTAACTAACAACTGTCGTTAACTGAAGTACTTGCCGCGTACTCTATCTTCTGTTGAATAATTGATCGCGTCGATCCAGAAACTTTTCCCATGGTATTTTGTTCGTTATTTTCATTCATCTCCTTTTATAGTTGGTTGCTAGTTGTAAAATAGTTTACATTTTTGGGTAGATATACTTCATCGCAGGTGATATCGATAAAGGTGGTTCAGAAAATTTTGAATTGATTTCAATTTTAGTCTTAACTAGAATTGTGCAATAATTTAATCAACGTTTAACCGACCGAAAGAAGGGAATATTCTTTACAATCTCTCTAAGATGTTCGACACTTTACACGGCACATTTATTGATTTTTTTATTATACAGAGGAACAAACTCCATTAGGGAACTACTCTAACTACTCTTTTAAAAAGTATGTGACGATTAATGTAATTAATGTAACAGCAGTGTTCATAGGTAATTGTTCTTTTATTAATCTCTACTTGGTACCATTGATTTCATTTGATTTAATTTTATTAATACAGATTCGAATTACCAAATTTTTGTAATGTAATAAAAATTACTGCATTTGTGAATCTATGATACTGTTTATGAGTTAGATTTACAAATTATTTTCTGTTGCTATTATTTTCTATTAAATTTTATGTAAAATCTACTGAATTTTCTTTGTTACACATATCATTCAAATAATTATTATTTACAATTCTATAAATTTACTAATCGTGTTTATAACAAGTTTATATTTAAATCCTTAAATAATAGCTATGAATTACAATAATTTAAACCATTGTAAATAATAATTTTGAAAAGTTTGTTTTGCATATAAGTCGGGCAAGAATAAATTTATGAAATTACTAATATTTCTTATTTATAATTGTTGGAATTATTATTAATTGTAATTATATTTATGACTATCATTAATATATATCCTTTTGCGTCTAATATCCTCTAATTTATTTTCTGTCTCTAGTAGGACAAAAGTTCCTCATAGGAAACCAATTATGAAGCATTCTAATTATACTCTCAACTTACGAAGCAAGAAGCTGAAAAAGTTAGCATCGTTTTCGAGCAACTTTCGCGAAAGACGTCAAGTGAAAAAGTTCCGGAAGAATACACTGATAAAAAGAAATTCCTCATCTGCTGGGAAACGTATCCCATGGAAGGAAAACGCAGTTATCGCGGAGGAATCTAAGGCTGCCCAAGAAACCGGTGCTGCCAAGAACATGTTAGCCTGTGATCCTGAAATAACTACAAGAACTTTGGCAGAGCGCCCAAAAAGTTCTCCAGCGTGGAAAGGCATTGAACTTAGGCTTATCGAAAACTGAAGAATATCACTATTCAAAGAACAAAAACAAACAATGGATCATAATCATGGAAATTAAAAATGGCCTTGCTGAATTGAAAGATTCGATGCACTTCGCAACAGCTTTGAGAGTCTTCTGGAACAATGTATTGCAACGTATATAAAAGTAAACATTGGAGGTATGTTAAATATTGTCGTCACATGTAGAGATACTTACTTTGAAATATATAGCACTTCATTTAACATGTACTCTCATTATGTACTCTAAAGGATCTATAGAATTCAATTAGTAAAATAATAATAATTTCCTATCAGCTTCTAGATTTTAAATTATTACTTACAGAAATTGTTTTTAGAAAAATTTCCCATTTATTTGTTAGTTTCATTCTTGGATCATTCCAACAGGAAATTGTTTCTTGGATTATTGGACGTTGTAGAATAAAGTATTGTTGCATTTCAGGAGAGTTTCCATTTATTTCAATGATTATTCTTCACAAGTTCTTCACACTTTCATATTGAATGGAAAGGGACCATATTCTACACAAATCTCTATTTGTTTAAATCAAATCACTCAAATTATTGAATTTTCAACGCGTTACAAATCCTAAAATTAACTTTTTAAAAAATTACAAACAAACGAAAAGAAGTAAAATTTCAACCATCTCGACGTTTTCTATATTTATTCTTTATTCTCGTCTCTTTCACGAATATTTCCTCAACTGCTTCTCCAAATTACAGGAGTTTTATATCATTCATTACGCCTCTGAATTGTACCGCTGGAACCTTTTTCGCTCAGAACTTTTAATAGCCGCAAGTTGCAAGTTGCAATTTGGTGAATCGAAAGAAACCTGTAATTCAAACTCTTTCCTGGCAGAAATATTCCTCAAATCGAGTTGCAGTTGAAGCTCGAATCCCTTCCCACCTTGTACGAAATATTCAGTTCGATGAAGAATGAAAAAACGACGAGACAGATGTTTGTGAGAAACGTTCAACACACTCAATAGTAACGATGTGTGTGTTTCAACAGTGATAACATTTCGCCAAGAGATTGCACAGCTCAAGGTATTTACTCTAAAGGAAAGTTCCTAAGCCTATTATGAATCGAGAGATTAACATGTAACGGTTAATAACACTGAAAGATACCCCATCGCTGTTTTTAGAATCTGAAATGAGATTAGAATAAGATTTTTCTAGATTTTTAAGGTAATAATTCGATGATACACACGCTACTGAACATTTCCATCGAAAAAGTGCTAAATTTTCCTGCTGTCAAACAGAGTGGACGAATGGATCTGTTCATGATGAATAGAAGACACCTGGCTTCAGAAGGTGAGACGTTATACCAGTTCGATTCATATGCGCAGTCGCTCAATTCTTGGTTCTGAAACATCTCCTTTATGATTCTGAGCTTTATCCACTCGTTCTATTTAAACAGAATATATATATATGTTCCTTGCTATTTGAATATTAAAAACTATTTGAATATCTATAGAAACTCTTTTGGTATATTTTAAAACTTCATTAATTATCATGGTTAACATATTGACCAAATATATATTGAGTATTAACAGTCAATTGCATATCGTAGTATATAAACATTAAAAATTAATTACCTTAATTGGGTAAGACTATCTATAATATTGATTATGAAATGTTTACATATTTATAGTATATTCAATCTCTATATAAATTTAAAATTGGCTTGAAATTGTAACAATATAATCATGACAATTGTTTATTGCAACATTAATAAATTTCTAAAATTTCTTCTGTCGTAAGTTTCGAATATTTTCGTGTGTATATAATTTCAAATCATAGTTCATATAATGACAGAATGTACCACAATTTAATTAACTAATTGCAATAACAGGTAAGATTGCTTACTTGAACGAGGAGCGTCTCGCCTATATAACAATAGAGATATATATGCACGAGCACGAAGCTGACGAAGATGATGAAGTGAACCATTTGAAATTGGAAGATTCCATTTTCGTTTTGAAGTATCACCTGGTTAATTCATGTTATTTCTCTGGTGTTGCAACCATCGAAGATTAGAAGTATCGTAAATGCAACTTACATTGAAAAGTATAAAACCTTGGAGACAAATTTCGATGGTGCAGAACAACAGTTGAAGCAATAAGAGCATATTAAAGCATTCTTCGATCTTTGCCGCGAGTCTTTAATAAAAGAAAAAGAAATTTGTAGGATTGCTTTTAAAGCAATCTGATGATTGGAATATTACCATATAAAGAACGAGCACTATAATAATTTAATTGCTAGAATTTTAAGCATGAATTATTCACAATTTGTGCAACAAGTGTTTAATTCACTATGTTAACTGTTATAGATTCATGTTCTTTATCAGACAATAAATTAGTCCATTGAATAAAAATTGAGCTTTTTATTTTGAATAATAGAGTTTTAAAATACCGGAATATTATGGCTGTATTTCAATATTGAGATAGTGGAATATTGTAATGTCAAAGCATTAAAACATTGGATACTGAAGACTATTGCATTGTTGGATTATAATATCGCGATATGAGATTATAAAATAAAAAAATATGAGAGAATGAAAAGTAAAAGAATCATAGTCTTGGAATATTAAATGATTGCAATATTTCAGTATATTATGGTACTAGAATATTCAAATTTTCATAAATAGTACAAATTTAATACCTTAAGAAATATGATCATAAAATATCTTAAAAATTTATTTAAAAAATCCATTGAATATCAGTAGAAACTTTTTAAAAAGTTACTTGTTTGTGTTTAGTAAATTATTCACCCGTTCAGTTGCTCGTGTTTGTTGATAATCAAAGCCAGCTCCTTTTGAAACTCATCGATGCTTTTACTCTGTCTGTCATTGTCCATCAACCTTAATAATTTCTTCTTTAAAATCGCAAATTGTCCGCAAATATGCATGATCAACATGGCAATGAAAGTGTCGACCGTGCTATAAGCAAGAGTGTCTGAATATCCTGCTATCAGTTGAGCAAAATTGATTATTAACAATCTTGATGTTGGTCGAATATCAAAAGGAAAATATGCAGGATATATGATCAAGCGATCCTGATGTACACTTGCTTTATCAGTCAAAGAGATGGCAAGTATTCGAAGGATTTGGTACGCAACGAGCATCGATAAGCTTAACATCGAACACAACACAGAAATAAATTTGGCGGGTTTAGCCATCTTCAACATCAGTGCTTCTTCCTCATCTGTTTTTACCCTGTACCAGTCATCATAGAAACATTTGATGACGGGTTTCAAAGCTTGAAAATATAATAAAATTTAATATTATATATAGAATGATAATTTTTATAATACAAATAATCTTATAATACCAGAATAAGAACATTAATAATAATATTATTATTTCACATTTTAATATTATTATAATAAATAATACATAATACGTATCAATAGAATATTAATATTTATTCACTTAATGTTTAGTAGAATATTAATATTGTTAATATTAGGTAAATAAATATTAATATTCTATAAATATTAGATAGGTATATTATTGTATATTATTTATTCTAATATTATGCTACAATAATATAGTATGATAATTTTATCATCAATGTTCATATATATATATTCAGTATTAATTGTTATCCTCTTATCATTAAGTAGAATATTATTCTTTGTCGCACCAATGCTGTGTTCATTTATGTATATTAATTATTTCATTTACAAAATCATGGACAAAAGCAGTAAAGAAATTTCATTAGAAAAAGTCATAAAGGAATATTTTATAACTGTGAAGACTTAAATGGAATTAAATAATTGTAATTACAGTGGATAGTTATTGGCAAACTTTGTACGTACATTCTTTGCAATACCAAGCGTAGATGAACTTTATCATCGCGTTTAGACCAGGTAAATTAGCCATCGTTAGATTTTCCATCACTAGATCAAGATTCCCCGATATGAAATATAGATTCACATTCTCCGGTAAGATTCCAAATAGAAATATTATAGACACGAAAAATAGAACTTTAAAGTTTGGCAATCGTTCGTCGGTTCTAGCCGGTTCCGGCCAAATGCCAATGAATTCCATGTTCCTACGATTCCATCCTAAAGCTACTTTCAATCCTGAAATGAAATTTTATAAAATATCTCTTTGAAAAATGTTACATTTTAATTATATTAACATTAACATTATATTTGCCACTTTACGAGACAACGTGACAACACAGAATCTCCTTCCACAAATTATAAATACGTATATTACTCTTAAAAAAGAATATCATGTAATTCCAATAATTATTTAATAGAGAAATCCATTTATTTTTCTCAAACGATTCGTCGAAACAAGGATTGATAATAATACAAAGAAAATGAAGTCTTGAAACATTTTTAAATTAAACCAGAACAAAAATTCGGTAAAATTCACGGAAATAAAGAAGCATAGGAGACAAAATGGTGTTTAATTAAACAGGAGCACAGTCTCGGGGAAATTTCACGAATATCGTGAGACATAGATGACAGAAACGTACCTGTATCGTAGTCCATTGAAGTCATGCATACGCACGCAAACTGCACGATCAACTGATTATAGCGAACTGTCTTGTTCTTTACGTGAAAGAGAGGCGCATGCTCTTTTTTAGTGCCTCTTTTTTAGTGCCTTTAGTTTTAACATCAACACAAAACTTCTAACTAAGTGCGTAATTAGACTTCCAAGTATCGCATTTACAAGGGTGAACATATTTTTTTAATCGTCTTTAACTAACAAACTCCAATACTTGCCGCGTATTTCTCTGTCTTCTGTTGAATAATTGATCGCGTCCGTCCAGAAACTTTTTCCATGGCACTTCGTTCGTTATTTTCATTTGTCTGCTTCCATAGTTGGTTACTAATTGTAAACTAGTTCACGTTTATGGGTAGATATACCTCTTCGTAGGATATTGATAAAAATAGTTCAGAAAATTTTGAGTTGACTTCAATTTTAGTCTTAACTAGAATTGTGCAAAAATTTAAACATTTAGTTGACAATCTGACTGTGATATTCGACATTTTACACGGCACAATTATTGATTTTTTTATTATATATACAAAGGAATAGAGTCATTTATGGAACTAAAAAATAAATTGCGATTTATTCAATTCCGTTTTATCAATGTCTAATTAATACCATTGGTCATTGGAATTTATAAAAATTTTGATTTCACATCGTTTTATTTTGAAATTCTTAACTTTATTTAATTTTATTACAAATCTGTAAGGAAGAGTATAATCAACTTTTTAGAATATAGCAAAACTTATAATATTTCTGAATTCACGATATTACTTATGTGTCGAGGGAGAATTTTTATATTCTATACATTATTTTATACAATAGTGCTAAATTCACTGAATTTGTATATACATACTATTCAAATAATTATTATTCATAATTTTATAAAGTCTTACTGTGATTATAGTAAATTAATATTATATTTATGTTTAAGGAATATAAATTATAAATAATAATAATTTAACTGATCATGAATAATAATTATTGGTAATTGTAAAGTAAACGAGAATAGATTTAAATTATAAATAAAAATAAATCAATATAAATTATTTTCTCTCTCTGGAGACGAATTAGAATACCTCTAATATATTCTCTGTCTGTCGTAGGAGGCGACTAAAAGAGATCCTGACAGAAAACCAACTGTAGGGCGATTTAAAAATCTCAAGAAATTTATGCTGCAGAGCTAAGTAATTGGAGTACTTGCGACCATTTGGCCTACACGAAGGACGTCAAGTGAACTCTCGAAGAGTACTCTGATAAAAAGGAGTATTCCATCTGCCGGCAAGGACGTCTTATAGAAGAAAAACACGGTCAAAGCGGATGAAGCTAAAATTGTCCAGGAAACTGATATTACCAAGAACACAGAAGCCCGTGTTCCTGAAATAGCTACTGGAAACCTGCCGAGGAGCTCAAAAAAGATTCTCCAGCGGAGAAGAACATTGTACTGAAAAAAAATGGATATTGGTGGATGGAAGAAAAATTAGGAATAATAAGGACCACTATCTAAAGAATAAAAGCAGAAAATGGGACATCAGCATGAGCATTAAAAATGGCCATACTGAATCGACAGAATGGATGAACCTCATTGTGGTTATGAAAGACTCCTGGAACAGTATACATATTACAACGTATATAAAAACAAATATTAATACAAGGTATGTTAGATGTCTTTCGCTGTGCATTGCACATAGAGATACTTACTTTTACATAATATACAGCATTTCATTTATGTTCATCTTATCATATTTTAATAATTGTAAACAAATATACAATTGTTCAATTCATATTTTCTCCTTCAGTGACTTAGAGTGTTTTAATTAGAAGCAGTGTAAGCAAAAAAAGTGTGGTATTTCTACGAAACGCGAGTCCTATAGATATTTCAATATTTTAATTATCTTAAAAAAAATCTTTGTACAATCCTTTGCATGCTCCAATAGATCTAGCATATTTGAATATTGTTATGCATTTTTATTTTATGGGATTTCATTACATGAATCGTAATATGAATCTTTGAACAGATATCAAAATATATTCGATAACCATTGTGATTTTATAAAATGTTCAGTGTGACGTATTTTTCATTACCATGAACAGGAACAAGCACATTACAACCATATAATTATATTACTATTCATCGACCAATCTATCTTTCATAGCTAGCAGCACGGAAAGATATCCAGCAGACGTTTTTAAAATCTAACAAAATATTATTATGAACAGTTCAAATGTCTTTCTTTATGAACAGTTCTAATTTCAAATCTCACTATTTCTCAAAAATAATTTCAGTCCATGATCGTGTTTCACTTACAGCGTTGAAAAGTTCAAGAGAAAAGGGGCTGAATTTCCCAGCTGTTATTTGAAACGATACTCTTGCACGACATATTACTATAATTAATGAAACTGCGTTTTTCGGTGGTAAATCGTACCAATTGCAATCGTATACTGATTCACTGATACCAGTACTCTGAAAATTAATATATAAAGTGTTAAATTAATTTACATGTTACATTAAATATATTAATTTAATACACAAATAAAATATATTAATTAATATATTAAATTAATTTGTACATTAAATGTTGACATATTGGAATAATAAAATAGTATGATATTAAGATATTTTTAATCTTTAATTTGAAATATTAAGAGATATTAGATAATTTTAATATGCGTTATGTTCATTAAGATTATGACCTATATTGCTTTGATTGAAAACAATCTGGACATTTCTTTTCACCCGTTAGATTGAACGTGTACGATGCTCAAATATTGTCCATAATAACAGATTCAGCATATTCGTCTGTAAGATAATAAACTCACTTGTCCAAGAAGCATTTCTCCCACGTAGCAATAAATGAAAAGGTGCAGCATAGTATAAATTACGTGTATGATAAAGAATATCATTCCAACAATTGGTACTTCTGCTTGTTCCTGATCTACGGACTAAAAACGAAAAAGAATTTACATTACACATTGATTTGTTCTTTCTTTATTTAATAGTTTATTTAATTTTAACGTACAGTTATCATGCGATATCCAGTGAGGCAGAACATCGTAGTACAGATTATAGTTTGAACAAGTAACATGAGATTGAAACAATCTTCCACGATCACAGCGAACCTTGATATAAATTTTTCTTTAAATTTTATCAGTTATTTGCTAAATTAACTGATACTTTCTTCGCTTCAAGAATGATAACTTATGTCAAAGTGAGAGCAAAATCCTACTTTTCTTCTTTAATAGGAAAGAAATTAATTATTTCATACAACTGAAATTTCTGTTAACAGATCTGCAGTTGGTTTTCTGATATCTGATTTGAATAAAACAGTATTAAAATAAAATAATGTTCAAATAAAATGAAATAAAGCAAAA